CATACACTCTCATTGAGCAACAAGCCAACAACCATTGACATTACTTTATTTAGGCTTCAAGTCTTCAACCATTGAGATTACTTTATTTAGTGAAATTCATACGAATAATCTGTATTAAACAAATTGATATAAATAATCTGTTCTCATAAACCTATTCACAAAAATAGGCAAAAGTAAACAAGACTAAACGGCTCTGTTATAACTTATAACCCCATTCACGTCGTCATCTCCCTCTTCGCGTAATAGCTTCTTCTTCCAAGTCAAACATTAATATGCATATATATATACAGCTCGTTATCAAAATCATGACCATTTATGACATGATTGTAAAGAAATTAACATCTGAGTGTAATATCAAAATACGTACTTTGTATATCCAAATTAACCATCAATTGCCATCATGACATGATTTAACCTTTGGAGACATTAACATCTGGCTCAACAAACAAGGGAGATTACTCTGTATGGCAGGTATAATTAGTAAAAAAATGATCAAAATTTCATTTGCAGAAATCTTTTACTTCCAAAGAGTGAAAATTTTCAAAATCTTCTCTGTTTTTATGGATATCACATAAAAACAATTCTAAAAGTAAATCAATTTAACCCTAACACTTAATTATAATCCATTTATTGTGAAAATAAGCTCAACACATTACTTGCATGATTATCCAAAGAGTTTCACCAAAGCGTTTCTTCGACTATTTCATTTCAATTATGTGTTTGGTGAGCCAGGATAAGTAATGAAGTGGGTTGACGACTGAGATGGAATTAAGAAGTGATGGAGAAAAGATTATTTAAGAACAGAGATATACAGAAGAAGAGCTTAAGGTGATTAATATGTTCCTTTGTTAAAATAGAGAGGAGAATGAAGCACAATTTGGGATGTAGCAGCAGCACACAAAAAAGAAAATCGAGCAGGGAAGTGGGATAAGGGTGAGGATTAAACGGAACTGTCATCACCGTATCATCCCCATATCATTTAATCTATTTTTGGGAACATGTTTATTTGTTTGGATTATTTCTGTTCATTAGCTCAGTACGGAGTATTAGTGTAGAATGGATAAAAGTATGTATTATTAGTATGAATTTCCCCGACGTAACTTGTAAGTGAGAGTTTGTAGTTAATGCTCACTTAGATGGGTTTATTAACATTTTGAAAGCTTTACTTGTTGCCATACGTAATGCACTAATGCTTAGAGATAAGTGATGACTATACATTGTGATACTTTTTCTCTAGTATCTATTTTAACATATGTTTAGTTTATTAATTCCCTCAGGTTCTGTTTGCAACAACTTCTGCTTTTAAAAAAGTGTTTTTTTTAATGAAATGGGAAGAAGTGATTAAATAAAAGTTGATAGTGTTTGAGAAAAAAGTGATTTCGAAAAGTAAAAGTGGGTAGTGTTTTGTAAAATAAGTGTTTTTGTGTATAGAAAAAGTAATAGCACTTTTGACGTGGAAGGCGAGAAAAATAAAAGTTGTAGTGTTTGTGAAAATAAGTTTTTTTTAAAGCCAAAAGCTGAGAAGTGTTTTTTTAAAAGTAGTTGCAAACCAACCCTCAATGTCACTAATGATTTTCCTTAGGCTAAATTCATCCATTTTGGCTATGTTAAGAAGTGTTTTGGACTAAATAAATTAGGTGTCAATAGATATGTGCTAAACAAGAGATGATAAGATGTGTTTTGGACTAAATAAATTAGGTGTCAATAGATATGTGCTAAACTTTGCTTAATCAAAACATGAATGTGAAATTGAATGAAAATTAAAATGAATAGTAACTCTAAAATGTATAATGAAGAAGTATGGGTTTCTTAAAAACATAGGGATGGAATTTATAATTCAGAATTACTAGTAATTGTTTAGTGATGAATATTAATGTCCATGCCAGCTACAATGTGTGAAGGAAAGTTTGAATTACAAAGGCAACGTAACGTTAGTTCAAATCCAAAATGGAATGAAAGTGAAAATAAAAAAGATGGTTAAGATGTATAATACTCGTGCCTTGTCTGCATACAAGTTTGGGAAGAGGGTCAAGAATCAAGATCATGGATTAAGGGTGTGAATTGCACGGATCCTATCCATGAGAAGGGGAAGGGATAAGAGCTCATAATTCTCAATTTATATTCATTTTTGCGTTAAGTTGATATTTGAACCACGGGAGTGGTCAATGATATCATTTAGCTAGATCATTGACCATAATAGTGGCAAGAACGCCAACTATCATTGTACATGTGTTCATCATATACTCTCTTCGTCCCGCAAAATACTTCCCGGTTTGACTTGTATCAGATTTAAAGAAAATGCGAAAAGTGAAAATGTATGATTGTGTTAAGTAAGAAAAAAGTGAATGAATGGTAGTCACACAAATATTTCCAAAAAAAAAAAAAAAAAAGAGAAGAATTTTTGTGACGTCCAAAAAAAATAAGTGAGAATAATTTCCAGGGACGGAGAGAATATAGGTCAATTAGCCATCCACCTCATATTTGACCATGTGTTTGACCTGACAATAACCCGAGCACCTTGATTTCCTTTCCTAGTTAAAATTACGTTTACATTCCACAATTTTGAGTTAAAATAGCTTGAATTCAATATCTAAATCGACAAGCCCACATAGTGGAACTTAGACATACTTTGTTTAGTGATGAATATTAATGTCTCCACAATGTGTGATGAATTTATGTTGAGTAGTGAAGGAAAGTTTGAATTAGAAAGGCAACGTTAATTCAAATACAAAATGGAATGAAAGTGAATGTAAAAACGATGGTTCAGATGTATAATTACTACTCGTGCCTTGTCTGCACACAAGTTTGGGAAGAGGGTCAAGATCATGGATTAAGGGTGTGAATTGCACGGATCCTGTCCATGAGAAGGGGAAGGGATAAGAGCTCATAATTCTTTATTTATATTCATTTTTGCGTCAAGTTGATCTTTGAACCATGGGAGTGGTCAATGATTTCATTTTGCTAGATCATTGACCATTATAGTGGTAAGAACGCCAACTATTATTGTACATGTGTTCATGATATGCTCCCTCCGTCCCGCAAAATACTTCCCGATTTGACTTAGGCTATGTTTGGCGGGCATAAGTCCCTGACTTCTAGCTTTTGTACTGTTCAAAAAGTTCCTAAAAGCTTCTAGTTGTGTGTTTGGCATGACAATATTTAAGAGCTTTTCAAAAATTAAAAGATCTTTTTTGAGATGCTACCGGGAGTAGCATCTAAAAAAAGCTAGTGACTTTTAGTATTAATTAATCTTAACGGCTTGTATACCAAACCGAACTAAATCAAACAGTCAGCTTTTCATCAAATAGCTACCACCTTTTATTTTTAAGATCTTTTCAGTCACTAAAAGCTAACAGCTATTAAAAAGCTCACAAAAGTATCTTTTCAGCTAGTTGTGCCAAACATGCCCTTAGATCGGAGTTTAAGAAAATGGGGAAAACGTGAAAATTTATGGTTGTGGTTAAATAAAAAAAGGTAAATGGGTGGTAGCCACACAAACCTTTCAAAAAAGAAAAATGAGAAGAATTTTTTGGGACGTCCCAAAAAGGTAAGTGGAAAGAATTTTCGGGGATGGAGAGTGTATAAGTCAATTAGCCCTCTACCTCATTTACCCGAGCTCCTTGGTTTTCTTCCCTAGTTAAAATTACATTTACATTCCACAATTTTGTGTTAAAATAACTCGAATTCAATACCTAAATCGACAAGCCCACATAGTGTAATTTGGAAATACTTGATCACATCATCACACATTCACACTCAAACTTGCTCTTCACTATCATCTAAGATGTTATCTGGGACATCTATCTCACGGACTTGATAGTGAGATTCAAGTACAGAACTTACCAACAATTTCTTGTGGACGCGATTTTCACTATAGGTCACCCGCGAACAGTCTCTATGTACTTAAGTACAGGGGTAAGACTGCGTTCCGACCTCCCTTACCCCACCTTAGGTGGGAGCCTTTGCGGCACTGGGGTAATGATGATGATGATATGAGAGAACTACCACAAGAACTATCCAGTATGCCAAACTCATATTTGATTTAAGTTGCGCTTCATTTTGTGCAAACATGTTTTCTAGTATTATGATATTTGCACACTACCTTGTGCAATTTGAGTATGTTCTTGACCAGCAAGAGTGCTCATATTGGTTGATTCCTCTACCGAGGCAGAATATAAAGTCATTGCAGATGTAATGGCAGAAATAATATGGGTTGTTCACCGCCGCATCACCCTTCCCATCTATGGTGTGATGATTTACGGAGTAACGTATTGATGTGTCAATATATATCTTTATGCTCAGACCAAGGATGTGATCGTCGACCACATTGTACATGATGTGGTGGGCAAAGAAACAAGTTCAATTCATTGCTTATCAACCTGAAACCACCTTGTTGCTTCTATTTACATGAAACCCCTTCCATCGTCCTAATTCGTCTTCGTCCTAATTTGCCATACGTTGAAACAAACTCCAAGTTGTGAATCAGATCCCATTTGTGCTCGAGGGAGGAGTATTAAGACTAGTGTTCATATTCACCCTTTCTATTCAGCAACAGAAAGACTCAAAGACATGAACATCCTAAGGTTTAATACCCAACAACTATGATTACAGGTTGACAGGTTGTAAAATACCTGTATCTAAAGTAACCTAAGGAGTGTTAATTGGAGAAATCAAACTAACTACCAGAGTACCAGATCTACATATGACTTCTGAGATCCATGGCTTCACTCATGTGTAATATACGGGAACGTAACTCTTAGAATGTTTTTGGCTCAGGTCAGCTTAGATAACTCATTTGGGAGGTAATATAAGATTTACCTAAACTACTTTGGTGTGCTGTATAACCTGAACTAAATGACTGAGGGCATTCTAGTACTAGTTAGTGGTATCAGTTGTTTCAGTGTAGTTTTGATTGTAGGAGCACTGTAATGCTAGTGGTGCTGTGGTGGTGTACAATTGTAAATCAGGATGCCATAAGCACAGCAAAAACAAATTTCTATTTTATTCTGTATGCCGAGGACTAACTTTTACAAGTGTGCATAAGCAGTTAACAAAACTTTGTAAATTAAGACATGGTAGAGCTCATCCATGGATTAAACCCAGTTACAGGCTTGATGCTTCCTTGATAGAAATGACTTGTCCAGTCATGGTACTGTACATGGTAAAATGAAGTGAAAACTAACTACTGCCCATTATTCTGTATGTATATAAAATAAAAATAAAAAACTGCATTGGAAGATAACTGGTGCAATACAGATCGGTTGGTGTGTATGATACTATGATTTGGAAGAAGCTTGAAGGATCCTGATGAACAAGGCTTTGTTATTTCACATCTTCACTTTTGGAGTTTCTGTAACTTGTATTTGACAAAGAAAGCTGAAAGCAAACTCTTGCTGCGAGCAGGTGCATATACAGTCACCCGTCGTTGATTATCAACTGATCTATATGGAGTCATTGGTTTAGAGCCCTCCAGTGTATCCTGCCAACAAAAAATGCCCATTCAAAGCAGTGGGCAAAGGAAAGGAATATATTTAATGAACAACCATATAACAATTCGCAGAAGACAATGTACGATTTCGAATGAAGCAGAGATATGCGTCTCTTGCAACTCATTATTATAATGCATATTATAGCTCGGGGGGGGGGGGGGGCTTAGCAGATATATAGATCAATGTGGGGTTAGCATTAGGCCATTACCCGTTGCACGATGCTCAATGTCTGTGTTGCAATACTAGATGGAGGAGGACCCATGCTTGAGGGCTTAGGCTGAGCTGTTGCAGCTTTTGTCCTACTGCTAAATTCAGGATCTGCTCATAACATAACATTTGAGGCCATTCTTGATACCATCAAAATCAATTCTTAAGACTGAAAATGCAAAACAATGATCACATAGTGAGTCCTCATATAGTCACATACCTAACAAATTGAATGTACCAGCTGTTTTCCCTGAGCTTTTTACCGCATTACTGCTGCAAGGAATGTCAGAAAACATCAAATCAAATAACACAGTAAAAATATTTCAAATGCTCTTTGTTGCATACATACAAAGCCAAAAAGATACTAACCCTGCAAAACCACATGAATCCTCTTTCAAAGTTGATGTGGTCTCTGATGCTAGATGCCAAGAGAGAGTTTTAGCTGTGGGATTGCCTACAGTCAAAGACCGTAAGTTAACCTTGACACATATTTTTTAGATAACAGGAGAAACCATGCTGCCTTGGCAGAGAAAACCCACAGTTACCTGAAGCATAAAGGCGGTTTCTGGAATGTAGATGTTGCCCATTATTATGGGGACCAAAGTGAACCTTCTTGTTGATAATATCTGCATGGAGTACACAAATAAGAGCCCTAGTATGATTTGGAAATGACTTGGACTCAAGTAGTTCAGACATAAAATACCATACTTGGTAAAGTATAATGTTTGTGATGTCTAGGGATAATAGCTAATAGCTGCTGCTGTCTGAGACCTTCTCTGTCGGAGTATGTTTGGCAAGATAAAAGCCGCTGACATACACAAAAAATTATGTAAATTCAGTACATTGATTCTTTAATGATAAATCTGGACCAAAGAAGACAAGAGCTAAAAAAAAATACCTGCTTTAAACAAAAGATCTTTAGCTCTGTGGCTGAAAGGTCTGAACTTTGCTGGCCAACAAGGTCAGTCAATTTGTAAGAAACAGTTCCGAGGTGATCAACAGCATTTACAAGTGCCCTTACAGCGTAATCCTTCAGGTTCTCTAGAACCCTAAAACAAACATTAGAATAGAGCACATACTTAAAAAAACAGTCACAACGTCCAATTGGATACAAATGGTGAACATCTATAGCAACCCACTTTTTTATAAATAGTGGTGGTCCATACAAGAAAAAAGAAAACAATTCTGTATGAAAAAGTATAAGCAAGATAGAATTACATCTGTTTCTGCTCACTTTGAAGATAAGACTTCTCACAATAATCAGCAGCAGAATAAAGTTGAGGCCTCAAGTTCTTAAGTTCCTGAAGCAAGACATAGAAAAAGAATTGATCAAGGAAAAAATATCAATTCTAAGTTCACATAGAACATTGAAGAATAGAAGGAAAATTAATACATCCACTTTTCCAGCATTCATTTCAAATGATGGGAAGATGCAATGTAGAAAGAACGCACATTCAAGTGATCAAGTCCATGGCACACTACAGAGTCTACTACATGTTGACACCAGCCATAAAGGGGAAACCCACAACGTGAAAGATGGCAATTTGGGAATTTACATGGAAAATTCAGAGGTAAACTAAAACTACCATCAAACATGAGCAGATCAGATCTCAAGAATGGAAGGGGCAATGAAAAGAAAACTGGGAAGCAAGAAGACCTGTAACGCTTTGACGAAGCTCTTGCTCCGCTCCATGGAAATGTCATCGAACGACATGGGCGCATGAGGACGATTTGCTTGCACCGCCACTTCCATCTCCAGTTGCTGCGAATCAGAGAGATGATCCCTTGAAATTGGGAGACTTAGGGGAAGATTTGGGTTTTGCGTAGAGGTGCGTGGAAGGTCTCAGAGCTGGTTTTGAGTGGGGGGTGGGGATCTTGATGGGGATGGAATGCCGGGAAATGCATTCCTGGAGTGATGAGGAAGCGAAAGTGAGGGTCATATTTAATGTGGGGGTGACACGGAGGAGAGGGTGGTTGGACTGAGCTGGGCGGGCGGTTGGCTCCTTAACTCTTCTTCTTCCAGGTCCGCGGTCAAGCTCACACACGTGCCTGCTTAGTCTCTCTCGCCTACATCAACTTGGAAAAAGAAGTTCATTTTTGGGATTATTTCGCCCCGCTTTTTTCTTACTTATTCCAGCCTATGTTTTTGGGTCGGGAGAGAGGAATCACATCCTAATATCCTATGCCATATCTAGGGATGCACCCAGCCTCGACCCGGTTCAAGCCTTTTTTTTGAAGAAACCCGGTTCAAGCCTTATTAATTTATTTTTAATAAATAAAAAATATTACTCCCTTCACCCCTTTTAAATGTCCCGTTTTATCATATTCGGATGTACCTATTTAATTGTCTCATACCTTATTTGATAAAATTTGTGTGGCCCAAAATCATTCTTACTTTATTCTTACTTTATTAATTAATATCAACCACACAAGCACACTTTTCTTAAAACTCATGTCACCCTCTTCCGGGACATTTAAAAGAGGACGGAGGGAGTACACGTTAAGCATATAGTTATTTCAAATACAACATTGAATTAGAGGATTACACATTTGAAAATTACTTTGGAACTATGTTGCAAGGAAACGCAAAAATCGTGAGGAAACGGGAAACGAGAAACAGGAAACGTCAACTTTTATTCAAAAAAAAGCTTATTTGGAGAGTTTCTTAAGAGTTTCCGAGAGCTTCCGAAACGAGAAACGCACTCTTTCCCGAGAGTTTCCGTGCTACATAGCTTTGGAACCATTTCCGTGCTACAAAGTAAAAACGGACCGGGGCCGCCCGTTCCGGTGCCCATTTCTTACGCCCGAGACCAGGCCCGCCGGAAACCTGATCGCATATCTGGTTTCGCACCGAAACCGTTTCTCCTGTCCCAGTCCAGGCTGGGACAATGCCGATCCCGGTCTCGGACTAGGACCGCCGATGGGTTCATCCCTAGTCATATGGTTTTACGGAAAAATATATTTGTACAAACTGTATATGTTTTTTATACACTTTTTATAAACTTCCCTTTTATCTTTATACAAATGCAATTCGTTTAAAAAGTATAGAAGTTAACAAGATGTACAAATAAGTGTGCGAAACGTGTAAAAAATTGTATACACCAAATAGTAATTCATTGCAAATTTGCAATTTGTGATACATTTTAAGGGTTACAATTACGGATAAATTTAAATATTTCCTATTAATTTAGAAATTAGAATATCGTAATTAAATAATTTAAATATAAATAAACGATGAATGCTTACTTGGATCAATCAAATGCATAATAAATAGCATTCACCGTTCAAAAATTATACTAATCTAAACAGAAATAAGTTTCATACTCAAAATTTTAGCATAGTTAAACTAGAAAAGTAATACTCCGTAATTCATATCGTTTTGAAACAAAGTATCTTTTTCATATGAAGAACCCTAAGTGTGAACATTTATATGGACAATTTATTTTTCCGTTCCATCCTATAATTCACTATTTTTCGTGTGGCATTCTGTGTCACATTAAGTTTCCTTCCTTGAAAACGTCCTCCATTGTACATGAAATGTCACATACCAAGTATTTAATTAAATTTCCTCAAAACATAATCATTGCCTATTATTCTTTATGAGTGGCTTAACCATAATCGGCTAACTCCATGTGGGTTCCGGTCAATTCACATCCTAGTCCTACTCGTAGATCTGGATTCGGACGTCTTCAGAGTCTGAAGACGTTCGGGCCGGGTCCGGTTCGGGCCTTGAACCGGCCGGGCCTCGGTTCACCAATAGGAGGGCCCGGGCCCGAACCGGCGGTGACCGGTTCCGGGCCGGTTCCGGGCCCGACCGGGCCGGTTCCGGGCCGGTTCACCCGCCCCTATTTTTTTTTTAAATTTTTGGCTTCTTTTATTTAACCCTCTACCCCTCCTCCTCAACCCCAAACCACCCCAAACCACCTCAAATGGCCCAAAATAACTAATCCAACCCAAAAATTAAAAAAATTTCAAAAAAAAAAATAAAAAAAAAATTATTCCGGCCCGGACCGGGCCCGAACCGGCCGGGCCGGTTCACCAAATGGAGGGCCCGGTCCCGGAACCGGTATCCACCGGGCCGGTTCGACCCGAACCGCCGGTGGACCGGGCCACCGGGCCGGGCCGGTTCGCACAGTAACCGGGCCGGGCCGGTTCGCACAGTAACCGGGCCGGGCCGGTTCCGGTTCGGGCCGCCCGGCCCGAGTCCAACGTCTGAAGTTCAGACAAAAAAAAAAACCATTAAACTCAAAAAATTGAAATCAGAGCTATCAGTTTCAACTCAATTTCAGGCTAACCAGAACTGCACCAACGATATACCTGCTACTGGCTTCCCGTTTTGGTTCCCTGACCATATCAACAATGTTTATTACAATATATTTTTAAAATGGATTAATTTGATCCACATCTGAGTATCTGACCACATTTAATTATACAGATTGAATTTAAATAGATCAAACTAGACTATGGTATCTTCAATTGCTTCAAAATTTGATAATGACAAATAAAATATCTCATTTATGTGTAGACTCTTGAGGGATCTTTACATGAAAGAAAGATCTCGACTAAAAAGAGTGTCCATGCCAATTCAGACACTCACTGACTCACATATGAATGATGATAAACTTACCATCTAATCGTGTTTGTGATCCATATGATCCACTCACCAACCCAAACACCACTTAGGCATAAAGCCCTGTAATTTTTGAGTGTTTTTTCAGATCATAATACCTCTATCTATTCTGAACAGCTTTAATGACCAATAATATACGTAGTACAACTTACAAGTCTTATCTGATACTAGAACCAAACAATGGAAACATGTCCTAACTCTAAGCCCCAACCTGAGGCCCAACGCATGCATGTTTTTGGAAAGACATCGCCTAATTCTAGTTTGGGTATCTTGGTTCCTCAAATGCTGCTACACAACTGATCTTCTAGAGAGAAGGGCACGGATAATGAGTTAAACCTATACTAGCTGTGAAGATTAAACCAGTATTACTAATAAGATGTAGCAGCTAACGCATAATACACCTCAATACATATTACATTATCAGATGAATGTAGCTAGGCAACGCATAGAAGATTAAATCATGTACAGTAAGCCACTATACAAAAATTTTACAAATCCCTGCCAGTTAACTTGAAGTAAGAAACATACAACTGTTTATCTTTTATGGATGCATATCCAGAGTAAGGGTAATTGTAGTGCATGAGTGCATCTCACCCCTAGCAACAGCTCATTTCATCACGACTTTTCCTTAGATGATTCCTCATCCTCCTCTTTTCCGACAGAAGATAAAACCGAAGACAGGTGAAGCTTGGACCCACATGAATTCACTAATAGTGCCACAAAGTTCTTGAATGAGGATGAAAACTCAAAGAAAGTAGGCTTAGGTGTTGACCCACACCCAATGTATTCTATTATATCCTGAACAGTTTGAACACGAAACTTTGGAGGTGCATTTAAAGCAATATTGTGGACCCTGTGCTCATATATCTTCCCCTTCTGATCAAGTTTATATTCTGAAGTGCCATCAAACCGTCCATGGCACTCCCAAGGGACACGTGGGATACCATGGACTGTCCAACGCACTATTATCATGCTCTCTGCAGGTTGCCACACACTAACAATGTCAACCCACAATTCCCTGAAAAATATTCTACCATGGAATCGTAACGCCCAAAAGATTGATTTATAATTCTCAATGCCGACAAAGGTGTTCAATGGATCTTTGTATGTAATATCATCCCTGTAAAGAGTGAAAAGGAACATCAAGAATCCTAAACATCACATTATTACAGAGGCCGCAAAAGCCCATGTTATATGTTTCTCAAAGTATACCAAAGTTGGTATATATGCCACAAACCAAATGGAATTGTGCTTCCCTACTTGGTATATATTATCTAGTTATCACGAGAATAATGCCAATGTGCAAAAGAAAGTATTTTACTTCTTTTTATCATCAATGGGCCACTAAAAATGTATGGTTTAAGTAAATTTTCTTAGATAGTTCCTTATGTATCAAAAAATCCCGCTACAATGTTTGAAAGAGGTATTACTAATCTTAACCTATATAATCTCTCTTTAGAAATGGCTCAGTAGTTTGTGATTCGTGAGTGAGGTAGTTATTTCTAGGGGGGATTTGACTTTGCACCCCATATTCTTGGTGATATTAAAGTTTGCACCCCATTTTCAAAAAACTTTGACTTTGCACCTCATTTTGCTTATAAATCCTTTAACTTTGCACCTCATTCAAAATTTTTTGAAAGTGGGGGGTAAAGTCTAATATCACCCAAAAAGTAGGGTGCAAAGTCAAATTTCCCCTTATTTCTATTCATGTATATATGTTGATCAATCAACAAATAGCAGGGCAGCCTGATTCTGAATGCTCTCCTAAGCCCTAAACACCATCTCCATTCCCTACCATAATATTCTTATAGGAGGCTTCCGCCCTCACATAGTGGAGTAAATCCAATTAGCACCAGGTTCCTAACAGAAGAACACATACAAGCAACAACCAATACATGTAAAACTTTAAAAGACCCGAGATACTTAACTTTAATGCAATAAAGAGTCAAACTTTGCAGATTGTAGATAAAGTTTTCCCAAAAGAACATCAGTTCTTGAGATCCAACTGCTTCAATGTTAATTTTTCCTGTTTTCATGCTCTATAGTCTATACGCATCTTATATGCTAGAAAACACATTCGGAGTCCTTAACAACTATGAAATCAGGTGTATTGCTTCAAATGCTCTAAAAAGACCACAAAAACCTGTAGATATCATATGTAAGATCCTTCTGGAACAGCGTTGGATACTCCTCTCTGAGTGTCCGGATAGCGTAGCCTGTGTTGAGATAGTAATCCCGCTTCTCCTCCTCCTCTTTGCTAATCTTAGTTGAGGA